GAGCGGACACAGCAACAAACCCACAGCTCAGCTGCAAGCCAGCAGTTCGTGATGCTCCTCCACCAACCCTCCCTGGGCTGGTGGGGATGCGGTCCCTCCACCTTGCTCCATCTTTTACTGGGAAACATGTGGCCCTGGTCCCAGTGCCACCGCCTGGCAGCCCCAGCTCAGAGCAGAGCTGGTGTCAAACCCGCTGCCTCTGTCCCTGCGCCAGGGAAAGGACAGCGTCTCCTCCGGGGAGCTGGGATCTCCAGCGCAGGGCGAGGGTAGTGGGGAAAGAGAGGCAGCTGGGGCCCAACGCTTGCTGCCAGGCTTTGCAGGGAGCCCCAAAAAGCAGCTGCAAGGGCAGAGAGGTGCTTGTTGCCCAAACCAGCCCCGGGGCAGCTTTATGGGCCCCACAGCAGCATCCTGGGGGGGGATGCACACCCAGCCCAGGCTGTGCTGCCCAAGCTGGCGGCTGAATTTCCCTGTCCCCCATGCTGCCCAGGACTCCCTGGGTGTCCCGGCTCCAGCAGGACAGCACCTCCAGCTCACGAATGCGATCCTGCTCGCACCCCGTGTCGTGTCCTGGAGCCACACCAGTGTGAGGACCACGCATCCCAGCCCCAGTGCAAATGCCCCGTCCTCCCCGCTGTCTCATGGTGTGCTGGGGCAGGTCACTGCCTCCCATGGGACACTCCTGACTCCAGTGTTGGGGAGCAGAGTCAGACCTCGTCCAGCTGCAGCCAAGCACGGCTCAGGCCCAGAAACACTCATTTCAGGCATGAGCTATGGCACAGACCATGTTTTTCCTTGCTGTAGCATCTAGGCTGGGGCTAAACTGTGGCAGGATTGGACTCACCAGTGAACAGGCTAATTTAACCTCTGACTGCTTGCAACTATCTAATGCAGTGGTCTGAGCTGGAAGAGACAAATCAAGCTGTTTTTAATGCTGTACATAGTAGTGAATTAGGGCTGCACTGACTACCAGAGAAAAAAAGAATTCCCATGCTTTGTCCCAGCATCTGTGCTGTGCTGATGCCGGCTACTGTGGTCAGGGCAGGGGGACCCCCAGACAGGCCACTGGAGTATCACTCCTCAGAGCCTGATCCAGAAATGGGGATTTTCCCAGCCCTGCTGGGATGCTCCTGCAGTCCTCCCTCCCCACCTTGGATCCTGCATGTCTGGCAGGGCTACGGCATTGCTTACAGCACGCAAGTGCCGGTCAAGCGCAGCGGTCACCCATGGCACGGCCCCACGGTGGGCAGGGGAAGCCTGTGGACACCTCGCAACCAGTGTGCGTGGATGTGGACCAGCCCACAGCAATGGACAAGATAAAAAATCCCGGGGAGAGCCAGCCTGTGACAGCTCCAGCCCCTTTTATTGCTTCTGCTCTGTGGCCCAACGGGAGACACGCTTTATGGCTTTATTTATTATAAAAGATCTTTAGGAAGCTCATCTCTACCTAAACCCACCCCTATTTCTGCCCACAGGGACTCTGTCTAATGGGGTAATGGCACTGCTGGGGGCTGGTTATAGGCTTTTTGGACACAGGGACTTGCCCGAGCCCACAGGCGAAGCCCCCCTGTCCCCATGCAGAGGGCAGAGCCGCAGGTGGGAAACTGCAAAACCCAAACTCCATTTCTAAGAAGCTGGATGCCAATAAAACCCAGTGTTTATTGCAGTGCTCCTCATCGGCCTCGGCTTTATAGATGTGCATTTAAAAATAAAAGCTTTGTGCGTCTTAGCTGGCCACAGAAGGGCTCGAACATTGAAAGGGTCGATCTGTCGGGCGACGAAGAGCCACCTCCCAGCCCCGAGCTCGGTGGGTGCAAACAGGTCAGCTACCTGCTCGGGGTTTCTGTGCGTCAAGTCGGAGCCTCATGCCTGAGAAACTCCAGCTCTGCTTTCAAGTATATTTGGCGTGAAGCCACACGGTCTCTCCGGTATCACATCTCCCACCAAGGGGGAAAGACCCACTGGTCACCAGAAAGCAACATCCCTCAGGTCCACCCCAGCCTCGGGGGAAGATGGCTGGTTTGGGCAGCTGCCGTAATGACACGCTGGCTCCAGTTTTGGCTTGAGGATGGGCTGTGAGAAGGCTCCGGAGGGCTTGGGGAACTCATGTTCAAATGGTGCTGCTGGGGAAAAAAAACCAGCTTGGACCCCATGAGGCCCCACCGGCTGCACAAAGGGGCCAGCAGCCAGCAGGGCTCTGGCAGAGCGGAGGGGTATGTGATGCTCAGCAGCCGTAGCAGCTGCCCACGGAGCTTACCTGCTTTCCCAGCTCCCCGCCTGCAAACCCCCGGCCAAGGCAGCTCTTGGCCAGGGGGCTGCATCTAAGGTGGCTGCACATTGCCAACACCCTTCCCAAATACACCCCCTCATACCAAACCCACCACCCGGAGAAGCACACAGTGGTTTAAACGGAAAAAAAAAACCCCCAAAAAAATATAAAAGGTCCTTGTGGTATGTAACTCCCACCACCATGGGCCAACAGTGCCGTCTTCACGCATGTGCCCCATCCTGAGAGGTGGGGCAGCTTTCAGAAAGGCCCAAGACGATGCAGCCTTCATCCCTGGCCCCACAGCAGCCGGGGAAGGCACAGGTTCAAAAGCACCAACTTCACTAGCCCCTCCAGGTCCTGGACATGGTGGGGGGCCAGCCGCTGCTGCTGAAATAGGTTATTTGTTGGCTATGTAGCTTTAAGCTCACATAGTTTTTTGCTGATGGGGGGCTCATAGGAGAGAGGAGAGGCAAGCCAAAGGCATGAGCAAGCAGCGTGGGGTGGCTAACCCTGGCCAAGCCCTGGCTACCACCCCTGCCCGTGGCGCTACGTGTCCCAGTGGGGAATTTTATTCCTGCAGCCAGCAAGTCCTCGGGCCAGGAGAGCAGAAGCGCGCAGCGGGATCCCAGACGGCGGTGGGGGCAGGCGGGAGCGGGGGGTCGCACGGCCTCCGCGATGTCAGCAGTGACGCAAACGCATGCCGGCCCTGACGCAGCCGGCGCATCCCCGGGGCTTTGCTTGGGGAAACCCAGCACCGGCTCCCGCTTGGGACGGCTGGGTCGTGTCTGCCTTATGGCAGTGCTGGAGGCAGGGAAGGGACACCCGGCTCTCCCCAGCAGCTGGGATGTCTCTTCTATGGGGCTGGATGGAAGAGCAGCAGCAGCGGCGGCGGCTTTCTGGTGCGGCTGCTGGTGCCAGCTGGGTCGCTGCAGTTTGAGGCCTGGCTGGTGTGGGCTCGGGAAGGCAGGAACGAGCTGGGCAAGGGAAGAAGAGGCTGTGGGTACAGTTATGCAAAAAGCATCCCTCTTGAAGCTGCCCCTTGGTCCAAACGCTCCCTTTGCGGTGCCCAGCTGCAGCTTCCCAGCAGCACTGGCTGCTCCCAGAGCTCAGCCCCAGCACAGTCATCTTGCGGTGGCGGCTGGCACAGCCAGCCACGTATGCTGCAGCCCCTTCGTAGCGGTCGGGTGGCCGAACACCTTGCCTCAGGGGTCCCAAGACAAGGCGAGGGCAGCTGGCAGCATGCTCCGTCCCCAGACATCCAGAGCCGGGACAGTGGCAGAGCTGCAGGCAGCTGCAGAACAAACTAAGCCTGTGATACAGCCTTGTGGGTGCCTCTGATGGGCTCCCCAGCCCTTAACAGCAACGTCCCCTCAACTTCTTCCCTTGCGGTATGTGAGGACTGAAAACAGCATCCACGGATGCAGCCGTGATAATCCTCCACCAACACAACCCCTTTGGACACCCATGGTGCCTCTGCTGAACCCACTTCTCAGCGATGCTGTAGCTCCTCCACCAGCCCTGCTTCTCCACGCAGCTCCACACCGAAGGCTTGAGGATGCTCTGTGGCATCAACTGTCCCAGTGCCTGACCCTGGCGGGATGCAGCACCCAGGACCTTCTGCGTGGAAGCAGGGTGCCTGGCAGACGCACACCCAGAGCTTTCCTGGCAGGCTGATGTCAGACACTACCAGGAGGAGGGAGATGGGGTGATGTGATCATGCAGCTTGCATGCGCAGACCTTCCTGGCTTTGAAATCCAAGGAGCTACCATCTGATCACTGGCTGGCAGGGTGAGCCATGAGCTCCTGCAGGAACTGCCTGGATCCCAGGAAGGGCTGGTGCTGGCACTGCCACTACCTGCTCGCTGCCCCAGAGATGCCCCAGGTGAGCAGCCCACAGGCAATGAGGAGGTGGGAAAAAAGCCCCTCTCTTCATCCCAAATCAGCTATAAAGCCCCAGCTCTAAAGCTGCTGCAGTTCCTCAGGGATGAGAGCAAGCGGGCATCCCTCCCCCCAGCTGGAGGATGGCTACATCTCAGTGCCTCAGGGCTCTCTCCCCAAGGCCAGATCCACAGGAGGAGTGGTACTGTCCCCATATCCCGCTGCAGGGACTTTTCCTGCAGGGAACTACGTAGCTGTCCTGTTGCATCAGCTGCAAGGAACAGCACAGCTGAGCCGGTGCAAGGAGCCTGGGCAGCGTCCGCGTGCTCCCCCTGCGCTTCCAGCCGCTCCTCTCCCTAGACCCCAGCCACCGGCTGGGAGGAAAGATCCCCCGAGGCAGCCCCTCAGTATGAAGCCCTGCGAGGACAAAACAAACCACCTGCATGACCACCGACCATAACGTAGAGAGGAGGATGGAGAGTGGCTCTGTGCTATGCGGTGCACCGGACAAGGGCAGTGACATGCTGAGGGTAACCTCGTCCACCAGAAATGCCAGGCTGGCCTTGCAGGGGATGCAGATGCCGCATAGAGACCCCAGAAGCCAGGGGAAAATGTTCCCCAGATGGGCTGCTGAGTCCATGGGGCCAATCCTGCTGCTGGTCCCTTGTGGCATGGCTGGGCTGGGGTCCACTCTCCAGGTCTGGGTGGCTGTGGCTCTTCAGCTCACCCCCCTCTTCCTCTCCGCAGCACTGACAGTGTGTGTCTGTCTGTCCATCCATGGTTCCAGCCTTCAGCAGGACTCCACAGGGACAAGAGCGGGTGGCCGCAGCCCCGGGCAGTGGTGGGAGGCTGGTGTTTAGGTGGCCTGGCCCGGCGGCAGGCGTTTGCTGTCCAGAATGGCCTTCCAGTCGTCGGTCCAGGACTGTAGCCTACGGCTGGGGGGCTTCAGCTGCAGGTGCTTGTTGTGGCAGGCCGTGAAGAGCACGTGCTCCCAGCTGGGGTTCTGCTCAGCCCCTGCAAAGCAAGGAGAGAGGTCAGCTCGCTGGACAACTCTGCGAGACGCAGAGGTTGACCTTACTCCAACACGAGGAGCCTGCGGACACAAACCCCTAATGAGAGCCTAATCAAGCAGGGAGGGACCAGCGCCCACTGCCCCCAGATGCCATCTGCCCCTCGAGGCTGCCTCTGGTCACTCCTGCCACCCCGCACCTCCCTTACCTGTTATATCAGGTCTGTCGTCTATAAGCAGGTCAGCAGAAACCACCGTCTTATCTCGCGTCAAAACAATCTGCTCAAGAAACTCGGGGCCGAAGTGCTTCTCCACCCAGGCGTACTGGAAGGCGAGAGGCGAGCGGTGAGCGCAGGGAAAGCTGATGGATGGAGCAGGGGCTGCTCAGCAGAGTGGCAGCAGCGCACGGCACGAGCCCTGGCCCCCACACAGGGGGGACATCTCTCTTAATAAGTTCATTAATGGGAAGGATTCGGATGCTGCTGGAGCACAAGTTCTTTTAAAGCCAAGCAGCTTTTGGCGTTGTGATGAAATACTAAGACCAAGCACCTCAGTGCATGCAAATGGCAGAGCTCAGCCAACGGCAGAGCTGCCGCTCTGCGAAGATGCTTAGGAACAAAACTGGTGGAGCAGGGAAATATCACTGCCATTTTACAGCCAGACAGCTGGAGGCACGTGGGGGTCAGACGGCTTTCACTGGGCAGCGCGGTACACGAGGGGGAGCTGGGATTCGGACCTACTCACCTTCTCGTAAGGGCAGTAGCGGTACTTCTTGATCGGGCTTGTGCAGATGAACACATCGGTGCTGCCATGAGAATAAAAACAGGGGCAGAGGGTCACTTGGTGGCCAAACACACTGATCCGACCCTGCTCCCTCTTGAGATACACCTGGCTGCCTCTGCGAGATGCCACCTGAGCAGGCAGGTGCCCAAAGCAGACCCCCCGCCACACACAGATCAAACCAGGGTGATTTAAGACATTAATCCCCCATCTCACAGGATCCCACCCCCAGGACGTGTACCCACACCCATGGGACAAGCATGTTCCCTTTTTCACCACCCTTACTGGGAGCAGAGAGCTGAAGGTAAGGGGCTGCACATGGCTGATTTTCTTGGTGACTGCTCGAGGAGCCAAAGCCCTCTCTTTCCTCCCACACCCAGCAGGCTAGGCGATATTTTTAATGCTGATGTTGTATTCAGCGCTTCTGCCAGGAGGCGGATGAGCCTGCAAAGCCACTGCTGCTCCCCTGTCCATCCCCAGTTACCATGGGCAGGTTCCTACTCACTCTGCCAAATTTGCCATTTGCTTCACAGCTTCCACAGCCCCAGGGAGCGGGTCCAGCTCGATGAAGAAGTTCTTGGATTCCCAGATGCTGATGGCTTTTTCCTGTGAGGGGAAAGAGAGCTGTTACTGCACAGGGCTTCTTGCTACTCTTCTCCTTGCACATGCATCTTCCCCACCCTTTCCCAGGTCAGAGGATGGTGACAGTGAGAATGGTGGCAGGGCTGGCTCTGGTCCCCTCCTGCTAACCCGCCTTGCCTCTGTGGGTGCCTTTGTTCCCCACCTGCCAACCTGCACCTGTCCCATACAATTTAGATTGGAGATGCTCTGGAGCAGGCTTGGTTTTGCCTCTGCAGCCCCAGACACAGAGGGAGCAGCACGTTCTTTCAAGGCAAACCACAAGAGATTGCCCAGAACTGAACCAAACCCCAGCTCTGCGTCTGGAGGGGCACTTCCACGTGGATCTGGCTGACGTGGCCCGGTAGCCCTGCTGTAATGTGATGCTGTTCAGCTCCAGATGCTGTCTGGCCTATTTGTCTCAATCAGATCACTTAAAATAGCAGTGGGGCTGCTCTCAAAGGAGAAGGTATATTACAGGATGAAATGCATGTCAGGATGAATGCAGATGCTCTTCCTCAAGGATGCCTGGGCAAGGTCTACCAGGCAAATGCAGCACCTGCAGGCAAGGGTTTGAAACACTTAACATCCAGGTTAGCAGCTGGGGTGCACTAGTATGGTGCAAAGGGAGAGCAAAGCAGAGAGAGACCATGGGAAGCAAAACCTTGGGACGAGGACAGAGTCCAGGGGCTGCCTGCGATGGGTCCAGCACAGCTCTAAGGCACAGCATCCCCTGCACTCCCTCAAACAGGTAACGGCTTGTCAGCTGCCAAGCAAAGCAATTATTTTGCACAGACACTGGGTCCTCAGGGAGGAGAGCCTGGGAGTGCTGCAACGTGGCTACAGGCAGAGGAAGCAGACCTCTCCTGGTGTTGCAATGCAGCCAAGCATCTGCAGATGCAGCTGGGAGAAGTTTTGAAGGAAGCCCTGCCCTGAAGGATTGATCATTTTCAGCACCTCTGTTTCTGTATTTGAGGTTGGACAATAGGGACAAAAGGAACTTTAAGCCCATTCTGGCCTTCTTATATTGCACAGTATAGAGGAGTCAGTAGAGCATCAGGGTAGGGGAGAGCAGCCTCAGTGATGCTTATATGCTGGTTCTCACAGCTCATAGCAACAAATAGGCTGGTTGGACACGCCAGCTAGACTTGCAGCTCCCCCCTGCCTGATGAATGGGAATCTAGCGCGTATAACCACCACGTTTTGCCTTTGCTACACCTGTACTGGGGGAAGAAAGCAGGCAAGCAGGAGCAACTGGGGCTTTGCTGGTAACTCCAGGCTCAGGGCAGCAATGCCACAAAGCAAACACAGGGCTCATTTGGGGGAGTCATGTTCTGCTTCATCCTGCTGGCTGCCTGTGCCAAGACGCTGGCTGCACACCTTGCCTGCTCTCGGGAAGATGAATGCATGAACCCATTACATATTTGGGCACTGAGCATTTAATATGACATGCCAGAATCAGACCCTGTATTTCTCAAAAAAACCCAGATAATGTGAGAAGACCAGACACCCAACTTCAAAGGAGAGACTACCCAGATCAACTGTTGCACTCTTCCCTTTTGCCTGAGCAGCAGAAAACATAGGTGGTTCAGAAGAGGGAAGAAAAGCCTTCTTTGTACATGTTCAAAATGAAACACGCTGATTTGGTGCAAGAGAGCCAGCAGAAATGCCTGCTGGCACCATGACAAGAACAGCTACCCTAACAGTTTGCCACAGGGCTAGGCAAACATTCAAACTCCAGTTGCTCTGATTTAGACCGGTGAGCAATGACATTTTATTTTTAAGATACTGACTGTAGTCGCACAAGAGACACCTGAGAAATGTGGCCTGATGCAGCAAACCACTTCAAATTGTGCTGAAGTGTCTTCTTACAGCAAGGACTTCCGTAGCTATTCAGCTTCCACTTATGTCAAAAAGCATTTTGCAATCAAGCTCAATGGGGGAAGAACTAAGTTCATCCTGAAGAAAAGACCCACTTGGCTCTTTTAATTCCCTCTGGCACCGCAGCCAGCACGCTGCCCGGCAGATGGAAAAATCCCCCAGGCTGGGAATCCCACCATGTGCCAGGCAGGACAGACCCTCCATTTCCTTCTTCTCATCTCTCCCTGTGAGGAATTTCCCTGCCCATCCAGGGCTCCCCATCCTTCCAGGTCTGTGTGCTTGGCATATTGTTGACCTGTTGTTCTCCCTTGCAGAGCTGGGAACCTCAGCTCGTTGGACTCTTTGGCTCCTATTTTCTGGTCTTCTACAGCAGGTCGATGGTAGGCTCTGACGATGGGGGACTGGAATGGCCCATGTGCCCGTAGCCACAGAGCAGCTCCTATTCTCTTTATCCCTGGTCTGAAACCACAGGTGAAATCAGGGCTGCCCTGAGGTCAGTCTGTGGAAGTTTTGCTATTTGTTCAGCCCAAGGTTTTGGTGGTTTTACATGATCACAGCAGACGCAAGATGAGCTCACTTCATTTAACACATCCAAAGTAGTTAAGATCAAGACAAAAAAAAGAGTTATCATGCATTAACCCTGCCAAACTTTTAGCATCTGCCTTACTGCATGAACGATGTCCTCCATTTCCCTTTCATCAATCCCAGCTAGAGAGGACACGTTATTTGTTCAGCTCATCAAGCTGTTCAGGACTTTGCCAGTGGGAGAGCTCCAGACCTTATTCATACTCCCTTCCTTGTAACCATCATACCACTAACGACAAGAGTACTTTTATTTGCTGTAACACGTTTCAACTAGTGCAACTGCAATGCGCAGATGAGCCAACAGACATCCCATCGAGCTGGGGAACTTGTAGAGGCAGAAACCGACTTTCTGCAGCACTCAGCCCTTCGTTGAATGATAAAGTACAATGTAAAGAGAGCTTCTGCTTTTAGGCTTTAATTGTTAAAATGAATACAATAATTTTCAGGCGTGGGAGGGCTCGGGGTTGTTTTAATTTTAAGTAAGCCCTCAAATGAAGCATCAATTGCATGGTTTGCTCTCAGCTTCTCTGCTGCATCCCACCCCTCACATTGCTGCTGAGAAACTGAATAATCCATCTAGGAACAGTATCAATCCATGCAGCTTGGCCAAATCAGAGCTAGAAAAACTCAGCTATGCAATTTGGGGTATTTTAAAACAGATGTTCTGAAAGATCTCCTTTCCTTGCATCTATCTCCATCTATGCATGCAGGGGAAAAGAGACAGATGTGCATGAAAAACGCTGGATTTCTGGGGAAAAAGGCACCACTGGAAGCCCTCCTGCGTGCAGACCTGTGCCTGTGTTTCGGTGGGAGCTCCGGCCGGCACCCACAGCCCTCCCCAGTGCTGCACCCGCAAGCTGAGGGCCAGTGGGTCCCGCGGGGCCAGAGCTCCAGCTGCACGGCGCAGGAGCGAACAAGAGCCACGCGCGGAGCCAGGGGATGCATAAACTCACACTCAGCTCAGGTCCCAGGCGCCCGTATTGCTCCGACACCCAGAAGCCCCTCCGGTCCTCCAGGGCAATGTAGGGTTTGTCGGGGTACCTGGCCCTGAACTTCTTGAGGAAGCCTCCCTCGAAGTCGGCCAGCACCCCATCCATGTCCACCAGCACCCGCAGAGCCCTGCGGGACCCCGCTGCGGGGCTGGAGCCCCTGCCCAGCCCTGCGAAAGGGCCGCAGCGCCGAGGCCGCAGGTGCAAGAAGCTGCTCAGCAAAATCATGGTAGAGGAGAGGGCTCGGGGCAGGGGATGGGGGGGGGTGTCTTCGGGTGGGGATGGTGGTGGGGGGCTTTTATTTCAAGCACGCACCCTGCAAGCAGGCGGCCCTGGCAAGCATGTCCCCTCGCAGCAGAAGGAAGGAGCGGAGGGGATGCAAAGGGGATGCAACGGGGAGCAGAGGGGCTGCAGAGGGGCTGCGGTGGGGATGCAAAGGCCGGTCCTCGCCCCCAGCGCCTCCTCTCCCTCCCCGCCCCATCCCTCCCTTGCAGCGAGCGCGGAGCAGGCGGCAGCGGTGGGGTGGGGGGGGGGGGGGGGGGAACGGGACGACCGGGGCCACCCGGTGCACGGCGGTGCGCTCGCCCCGACCCGGCAGTGCAAAGCCCAGTTCCTCTTCCCGGTGCCTGACCGAGCCCGGATCGGCAGCACCGCCTTAAAGCGGCACAAGCGCCCTGCGACGGCGCGGTTCTACAGCTCCTCCCGCCCGCTTTAAGCCTGCCCCGAGCCCCGTTCCCTCCCCTTCCCCGGAGCGGGGGGCTTTGCGGGGCGGCGGGGTGCCGAATCCGGCGGGGAACCCAGCCCCTGCCTCAGTTTCCCTAATTCTCAGCCTCGGGGGTATCCCACGCCGCCGCTCCGTCTCCCCTTGCCCGCTGTGGACCCTCTCTCTGCCCCAGCCGCTGCCGATACCCCCCCCCCCCGCTGCCCCCATGCCCGTCTCTGCTTGGAGCAGGGGTTGGGTACATCTTTGGGGGCAACTGTGCGTGGTTTGGGGGCATACGTAATGTGATTTTTGCAGCTTAAGCCTTGACATAAAATATACCCATTTCGACCAGTTCATGAGGAGGGGGCACACTCTGCCCAGGATCTGACTCGCTGTGACACAGCTCTGTCCCCACAGGTGATGGGAACCCTTAAAAGACAATAATTGTACCCAGAAGCAGTGCTGACAGCACACCGTGAAGGTCTGCGTGTTCTGACACAAGACCAAAGATCACTCTGGTCAAAAAACACCGTGGGGATTAAAGCTGCTAAAGAAGGGGGAGGCCTCCGAGTGTGACTAACAGGATTAGGCAACCGCTGAGCTGGGAAAGAAAAGATTTTGGTTGACAGCAATAATACGGCTTAGCGGTTCCAAAATATTTCATCTTTCAATTCCAGAATGTCTTCCAGTGGAATATATTGTCCTTGTTTCGCAGAAAGGGCAAACGAGCTGTAGAGATCAGGTGATGTGGGGAAGGTCACAGTGTGAACAAAGGAAGGAGCAGAACTGGCAGCCAGGCTGTACGTGACGGTAAATGTTACAGGCAGGTTAGGAGGGAAAACCTGTGAAGTTTCAAGTTTGTATTCTGCTTTCGCTTGCCCCGGAGGCATGCTGCTTATTGCCAGGAATGGGATTTCAACACAACTTGATGTTTCTTGCTAAGCGGCGAGAGAATACGTACACGTCCCCATGACAGGCAGAAAGGTTTCCTTCTTCTTCATGGTATACTGAAGGACCGACAAATTCCCTGCCCGCAGCAGCTCAGGGCCGCGTAACTTCACCGCTTCAGCTCCTGCGGGGATGGAAAATGCACTTCCATTTATATAAACCGAATCAACCTGAATCCCGTTCCCTGTGAGTAGGGCGAACATTACACGGGATCGGACGGCAACCACCATGTTCAGCCACCGTATTATCCCCCTCAGAGGGGATAAAAGGAATTAAATCCCTTCAGCACAACGGCCGGGCCTTCAACACCCGCCACCCCGGGGAGCGGGCCCCCCACCCGCCGAGGGCCCCCGTGTCGCCGTTAGAGGGGCGGCGGCCCGGCGGGGCCGCGACACGGGGCGGAGTGGTGACGCCATCGTGACGTCACCCCCCCCGCCCTGCTGAGTCACGGCTTCTCGCCCTGAGAGGGCCTCGACGCGGGATCGCTACTTCCGGGCGGGCGTTGCTATAGCGACGGCGGCTCTCGCGAGAGCCGCTGAAGTGGCGGAAGCGACCCGTCGCGCGGTTCCCGTCAGCGGCGCCTGATTGGCTGGCGGCCCGGCAGCGCCCGTAGCGGTCGTTCCTTCCCGCTTCCCGCCCTCCCTCCTCAGTACCGCCCCCTCCCT